GGCCGTGTCCGCTGAGGGCACGGCCAAGGAGTTGCTTGGATGAGCTGTGGCTGCTTTGGTTTTCGGTTGTTTCGAAACCTTGACACCGTTAAGACAGGATCAAAGGCGTAGTTCGACAAGTGTTCTAATAAGGTCATGGGTGCGATGGAGACGCATGAATTGTGTTTCGGAGAGCCTGGCACGAGGCAAGCCAGCTAACAAGCTGATCCAATTTCAGCGCTCGGAGAGCTCAGACTCCTACGATTCAACCGACGGCTCTACCAGTACGTTGCCTCCTCCTTGGGTGGGGGATCTCGAGCAGCAACACGAGCAGGTCATGGAGAATCAAAGCTTCCTCGAGAAGCAACAGGAAGAGGTCTTGGAGTCGCAAGCGGTGCAGAATCAGAGCATCGAGAAAAACTCTGCAGGCGTGGAGCAGCTCTTTTTGAGTATCGTTCCCGCCCCTTTGGGGCCCCCGATCGCGACGCCCCCGCCTGGGCCGTGTGAGCCAGGAGTGGAGCTAACGGAGCCAGCGCCCTGGACAGATTCAGAGGGGCGGCGGTCACACGGTCATATCTCTCATGTTGCTGCGAGACCCCATAGTTTAAAGCAAGCAGTGGGCCAGACTAGCCCGCACACAAAGCTGATTGAAAATTCAGTAGGACAGAGCAGTTCCTCGCTCGAAAACGGAACCCCGTCAAAAGTATTGACATGTATTGACGTCCCTGCTTTTGCTGCGATGATACGACCTTTCAAGGTTTTTTTGGTTTTTACTTCGCAGGAGGTTCGTAAATAACCTAGAGATGCTTCTACTTCCCTCGGTCGAACCAGTGAAGCGTACAGCATCAAGAGTCTTTTGCAGTTTACATCCTTCCACCATGTCATCTTATGACTCATGACACATCATGGGCCATTACGATATGTCCTGACGGCCATCCATCGCCCCTCGTACGCAAACTCCAGTTGCAGGTGTGCGACTGTGCGACCTGCATGGCAAGCTCTTGCCATCCCTTGCCGCTCAGGTGTGCCAGGAGTCGCACGTTCCTTGCACTCTCACAATCAGCAACAACAGATCTCGGGCAGCCTCGCAGACAACAATCTTTCCGGGCTGCAACTTCTTCGACAATGCGTCCCAGGCGGGTCGCAGTGCGGGCTGTCAGGCTGCGATAAGTAGGCTGCATTTGGCTTGGATTCATCGCAGGAGCTCTTCAAATACTGCAACGATGCCAGTGCCTATCGAGTGGTGACGGCCTCGACCTGCAGCGAAGAGCCCAGCTTCGATGCCATGTTATCCGCTTTCCTGTCCGACAGCGGCAGCTGCCAGCTTGTGGGTTGCTCGGTTGATTGGTTAGTGGGTAGCGTAGTCACGCAATTCCACCCGGGAGAGCTGCTTAGTGGTTCTGGTGTGGGCCCCGCCAGTCCTTGAACCGTAGACCAAAGCCCAACAGATGCTGCTGGCAACCAGAACGGATAGTTGGCAAGCAGAAGCCATCTCCCAGGCTGCGTGAACCGCAACGGTGCCAGATGCAAGATTCCATGGAATGGCACGGGCAGCGACACGCGGGCAGCTGCAGAGCTGCACTACTGCGGGCTTCTTATTCTTGCTATCTGTGTTTGCCGCTGTTTGCCAAGCTCACGAGTGGTCCAAGCCTAATGTCTTGCTGTGCCCGCACAAGTCGGCTTCACAGTCTCCCGTTAGTCGAAGCCTTGCTAGCAACACACAGAAGCTGGATCAGATGTGGGCGAGAGAGTCGAGAGCTTGCATGGGGCCGCCCAAAAAACCTGAGCTTGCCGTAGTCGCTGCAACACAGTTTTAGACTTGCAGCCCAGACCGTCACCTTCACGGTGGCTCCATCGGCATGCGTCTACATTGTGCAGCAACCCGCCTCCGCGTCGAACCGTTTCGGCAACAAGTCGGAGCCGCTCATCATAACGCCACGAGCTCGGGACTGGCCCAATCCAGTGGAAGGTACCCGGGTCCAAGTCGTTGTTTGTTTCTTTCGAGGTCTGAGATGGTGCTCATACCAACAACGACGACGGTGACCTCGTCCTGACTGGTCCAAAAGTTGAAGCTGACATCTGCTTAGAGTTTAGTTACCTCGGCCGGATCTCGACAATATTTGTCAGGGCGACAGCCGGCATGCCTGCAGCAATCTTTTCTTATATTGAGGTGTAAGCTCCCTTCTCTGCTGGCGAGTCTCGAACCGAGTGACCCACGTCCCTCTCCCTCGCTCTCTCAGTCTCTCTCTCTCCCTCTCTCCCTCTCTCTCTCTCTCTCTCTCTCTCTCACTCTCTCTCGCACTCTGTGATGGTACGGATTGCATGGTTCCTATAGTGGGAACGCAAACTATTATTTTTCGTGTCAAATGGCTGTGCATACTACGAGGCGATCGGCTCGGCTTCGGGCCCAAGGCTGTAAAACATGTATTTCCTGAGAGATCCCGAGAGCGGCGTTGAGGGCTTTAAAGAGTACTTAGGATTGAGCCTCCTCTTAAGCCCGGTCGATTTCGGACAGAGAGCTTGGGGTTTTGAGAAACAAAGATGACAGGTGACTGATGCAAGCACAAGCTCGCTCACGACCATCAGTGCCTCCACGGCGACCAGCACTCCTAACGTGACGACAAGCTCTGTGCCAGCCTCTACGACTGCGACTGTGCCCGAGACTACGACCACGACCACACCGTGGAAGTCTAAGTGCCCATGTGCAGATTGGTGCATGTGGGTGCCGCCTTATTCTATGAAGCTAGGATCAGCCATGTATCGTTCTTTCTTTTTTGCTTTGTATGGTCTTCCTAGTGACTCTCCTACTGATTCACCGTCGCCACAGAACATCCGCTGAAGCAGGAAATGGGTGCCATTCTGTACTGGCTGTCCTCGGTGTTGGGGCTGCCCACCCTGGTGCAGAGTCCTGCCAGAACGGCTGTCAGCAATCAGGCCTTTTTCCGGTGGAGTCGCTTGCGGTTGCCATACGCCATACTGTTCATGGCCTGTAGGAGAGGGACCTCCCTTTCGCTGGCTTGCTCGAAATTATGCTTTAACCCCTCCCCTCGCCTGCAGAGTCCTAGTTGCGAGAGTCCAAATAGCCTGACAGAGATTGACTCGAGAGACCGCCTGTGAAGCACCAAGGACCCCAACTCTTGGAGGTGACGGTGAGAAGCGAAAACATGGATGCAGATGGAAGGCCATGGGCAATGCCGAAGCCCGAGCAACCTACGAAAACATGGAGCTCGCCATGTGCGTAGAGATGCTGCAGTGTACCGTTCGCCCCAGCTGCACCTGCAAAGTACCTCCGAGAGCGCCTTCCGAAGGTTGTTAAGGCTTGTTTTTGAAGCTCTGAGGCCACGGCTTTCAGGATCCGACCACTGACGGGAGGAAGGGACTCGGCTTGAAATTTGCCTGAGCCCTCTGAGTTCTAGACCCCGCTCAATGAAAGAATGTGCGTCGACCTGCATTTATCACTTGGTTCCTGAGAGTCCCATTTGAAGCGTTGCAACAGCAACAACACAGGAAGAGATGGCAGCTTTTGGAGGATATATGGGGTGTTTACTTGCACCCACAGGTGCTGTTCAGAATCTACGACACTCTGCACGTAAGGTTTAGTTTTGGCATTTTTCGAGCCTTGACCAAGCGACATCTTGTAGCACGTCACCAGACCACAACAGACGACGAGGACCAAGTGGTTGCATGGCCATCCCTGGTCCGTCGAAACTTAACTCATTTGTTCTTTCAGTGTTTGCCGCGGCCACGCCTGTCCAAAAAGCGGCAGGTGGCCGCAGACCGGTACAACTGGCATCGGGCCTTGGGTTGAGGGTTGGGAGTGCAAGAGATGCAGGTAGTTCGCCGATCAATTCCGTGGATGAGGGCCTATGGCATCCTATGGCCGAGAAAAGCATACTCCGAGTAGATCCGCATAGATCCGCTTAAGCCTCGGATCAAGAAGGTCGAAACTTCCTTCTAACATGTGTTCGCGCTTGATTCGATTTTTTGTAGTCCTTATAGTTGTTCGGTTCTTCCGTTTTTGCCGTGCGGTTGTTAGGTCCCAAGAGGCTCCACAGCGGTATGCTTGGATTGCAACCCTGTAAACCACAGAGTATTGCTGAAGTGCCCACCACCAGAGGAGTATCCCCAGAGTGTCGGCCCGGTATAAACTCCTTACGACCTTTCTTACAGACGACTTAGAGGTTGTTTGGCTTCCTGGACGACAGCTAGTGTCTGTGCGGGGGCAGGGCAAGGAATGGGCGCATGGATGTCAAGATGTTTCCCCCTTTTGCAACCGTCCCCTGAATGGCAAGTATGCGGCAGTGCATCCCATGCAGTTATCCCGTAGAGCATAGTTATCTTTTCAGGTGCATGTTCAAAGCGACTAGTTTTAAGGCCTTGAGTGTCATTTCCGTTTGGGCTATGGTTTCTGGTTTCGCATGATTCGACATGCATTCAGCTCATGTTCTTCGGCTAAGCGTTCAGGATGCCGTTTGCCGGTCTCATGTGAGTCTTACAGGGTCTGCATTGGGAAGGTTTAGGTTCTCACGCGACTGAATTCATTGACGAAGTGGCTGCGTGCCCACAAGATGCTCGCAGATCGAAAAGGGTGTCAGCGCTTCCGGTGAGCAAACCGTCATGGGACCCTTTACCTACTCTCCAGGCTGCATGCCAAATTCATTGACAATGGTTTTTGTTCTCATGGCCTTCCGAGGATCTTCCCCGGACTGTTCATTTGACTTGGTTAACCCCAGCGTAGGTTGCACACCTAACTTTACTCGCTGAAAACTAACTTCACGTGAAGAAATGAAAAATGACATTGTAATGTCATAGCATAAGCTACCAGAAAGCAAAACCAGGTAAGACGATAACAGAAACAACCCGTACCAGAAAGATCTACTGCTAGCAATAGGGTAAGGAGGTTGGGGTTCAGGGTTTAGAATTTAAAGTTCAAAGGCGTTGAACTAGGTTTTGGCAGGGTTCCGGCTCTAGGCTTAAAGGCTTGCCGCCTGCCTGCCATCCAAGTGCTGTGAACATGCCCATTCTGCCTGTAGCTTGGCTAGGGAGAGCTGTGTGCCTTCGCTGAGGCAAAGTCTTTGTTTGTATGTGTGCGCTGCTGCTAACAGTGGAAAGCCAAACGTGTGTCAGGTTCAAAAGGGCTTGGTCTCCTTGAAAAATCAGCTCTAGGCTTTAAAGTTTGCTTGCTGTGTGGGATGCCAGCCCAAGTGGTGTGAACATGCCTATTCTGGCTGTGCCTTTTGCTATTGGCAAGCTTTGTTTTGCCTATGATAATGCAGTCGGTGTCTCTCAAATTCTTCGCAGAAACAATATAAGGTTTTGCATGGAATCAAAACCCGACAGATTTGGTGAGGCTCACAACTGAACACGTACTTCTGGCCCTCGTTTTCGTTCAGACGCTTGCTCAAGCAGAATTACGTGTGCATCTATACATGCGTACATACATACAACAAGCATGTATCAATGCACAAAGGAAATCTTGATCTCGTATGCCAGATGCCCAAACAGTAAGTGAGCACCTCGGCCATGGCGACCACGACTAGGGGAAGACCAGAAAGCAGATCACCCGGAGACTGTTAGGAGACACCCCTCTGCACAAAACCGGGCCACAGCCGTCCAGAAAAGGATCGGTGGTTGCTTCTTGTTGCTGATGGTGATGCTGCTGCTGCGCTTTGCCCGCTGCCGCACCCAAAACCAGTGAAAGGGTGAGATCGCACCCGAGAAACATCCGCAGTTGTTTTTGCTAGCGCATGGATTACTGTCGTGCGTTTCTGCTGTTTTCGGGGTTTGCTCTTCCGGTCAGTCGCACGGCGTTGGTATTACAGTCG